ACTTCAAACACACACACACGCGCCACCTGTATTATAGGTGTGCTAATGCCTATAGTGCCAGAACAAATCATACTCCTATGCACATCACAACAGACATGGGTCGGGGTGTCACAAGGCCACATGATTTTCTTAGGAAAGACTTCTGGTCATGTGTCATCTAAAAGTATATGCATGCAAGGACCTTTTCTCTCTTGATCTTGGGAACATCTACCTGCCTGGAAAGATGCTAGAAGCATGATGCACACCAGCGGCAAAGTATTTTTTTCCCCTAAGAAGCTACTCCCTCCGTTCCAAAATAGATGACTCAACTTTATACTAAAGTTAGTATAAAGTTGAGTCATTTATTTTGGAACGGAGGGAGTACATAGAGAGAGCAGTGAGCCAGTGATCCTCACCTAGCTAGTGCGTGCGCGCGCCCACACACACATCAAGCCAACACACCATACACGCAGCAGCAGTACGCAAGCAACAAACACGCATGTGGCGCAGAGAGCCAGAGACACAACCAATAAAGCGTGGAGGAGACACAACCAATAAAGCGTGGAGCAGACGGTCACGCTTGCCGTCGAGCCGCTCACACTAAAAGGGATCAAAGAGTAGGACATTTCTATTCGTAAACCTTCTCATCATAGGGAGTAATTATCAAACTGAGAAACAAAAGGAAAAGAAAAGCAAGAAGTTCCCTTCCTCCATCCGTTTTTTATTTTCTTTAACTTATATACATCAGACCAACACACAAGCACTTTATAAAAACATAATTCCCAATTTAAGAACACGGTTGAATATTAGGGCACCACATACTACTCTTCGCAAAGTAAAACCGGGCAAGCCAAGTCATGATTATGCTATTAGTCAGTAGGTACATTACACAGCTTGTTCACGCGAAGAACATCTGCTATTAGTTTCTTATAGCCACACTTCATGTTTCTATTTTCTAAATAAAAAGTGATCTCACTACGGTAAAAAATAAACACATATATAGCCGACAGAATTACCCTGCAAAACTATCAGCAAGGTAGTAGCAAAATATTATACTATCCTAATCATGTTACTAAATTACAATTGACCGACTCTAGTCTAGGTTTTAAATTTGAAAAGGGAGAACAACTCACCATGCTGTTTGATTTCTTCTTGGACTCATGTTTCCTATCACCAGTCCCCTTCATGCCGCCCGAATCCTCATTGATCTCTGCAAATCTTTAAACGAAAGCATCCAAATAAGCAATATGTATATACTCCCTCCGTCCCAAAATAAGTGACTCAACTTTGTACTAACAAAGTAGAAAAATCAAATTAAGAAAAGCTATCTAATTGATGGAAGGAACTTCATTTTATAATGTAATTCACTCTATCAGGCAAACTGTGATGTTTTGGCATCCACGGTCAAAACATCAACATAAAATTCAAATATTTAGACATGACAATAGCAGAGTTTTTCTCAATCATTCATGTGGGACAAAATACATAGAATGTAACAGTAGCACTTCTTTCTCATGTACTCATGTTGGACAGAACAAATATTAGATGCTGAAAATCATGTTACACATGAAGCCAAATAAGCATTTCTGCATAAACCAAAAGGATAAACTCACCCTGGGGTAGACTGCAATCATCTGATAACCACATCAATCCTGTATAATCTATTCAAACAGATTCACAGGTCAAAATATGACAAATAGCATCCATCGTGTAGCTTTGTTAAGGGTATTGTTTGATGCCGGGCTGCAAAGCATAAACACTTGTTACTACATTTAAATCTATGCTGCTAAAAAAGATAAGTAAGTGGTAAGAATTATGAAAATATATAACACCCTTTCCAAGGATTCCAAAAACTAAAAAGAAAAGGATGCCCAGTATGGGCTCTTCTATATGTGCACTTTATATTTCCTATATGAAAAGGAATAAGAGATGAAACCTAGCAAGCAGTCAAGCGAACCTGACGGTACTGGTCTCTTGCCATCGAGGTCAATGCACTTGATTTGGCCTTGCGTGCTACTTCCTTCACGCCGCAAGGCTTTCTTACTCTTGCCGTCCTCTCCTCTCCCTCGAATGCAGTGTACATACACCATAGGAAAATGTAAGGAACTGAACATATGACATATCCTTCATCAATTCTTAATAAAAAACTAAAAGTTCAGTTTTTCTCATTGGCTCATAAGCCTTCTCTTCAATCCTTTCTTCTCACAGAGAGTTTTCCTCTCCCTCCAGTGCAAGGAACAACAAGTGCATACACCATAGAGAGAATGTTAGCAACTGAACATATACCATGTCCTTCATCAATTCTTACAAAAAACTGAACTGAAAATGAAGCTCTTCTCATTGGCTCATAGCCTTCTTTCAATCCTTGCTTCTCACACAGTGTTTCTAGATTCACAAATAACCAAATAAGGAGGCAACCAACAACATATAGTAGCACATATTAGCAGCACAAGTAGAGTCAGGCCAAGCAGCAGCCAAGCTTGGCAGCAGCAGAACCAACAGCAAACACATATACCAACACAAATCAAAGGGAGGTGGGGCGCTTGACCAGAATCAGACTCTTCTCACCCTCTCTTTCTTCTCCTCCTCTTCCGAGGCTGCACCGTTGTCGGCCAGCATGTCAATGTCAATCTTGTCGATGAGCTCGCCTTTGGTGCGACGCCGGTAGCGGCCGGGGACGGTTGGGGCCCCATCCCTAGGCGAGCGCCCGGACCCAGCTCTCAAGCCGGGCGTGGTCCAGCAGCCTGACGGCGGGTTCGTCGATGGCCACGCTGCCGAGGGCCGCAAGGAACTCGTGGGGAACGAAGGCGAGGCCGGTGTTGGCCCTTGTGAGGGCGTCGGCGTCGTGGGCGGCGAGGAAGGGGTTGACGGTGGTGGCGGGAAGAGGAGACGAGGGGGAATTCTGGGAGGGGAAGTGGAGGCGCGCGGGTGGCGGCCCTTGGTCTTGGCCCAGACCAGCTCCCCGGCGGCTAGGGTCTGGGGCCGGGGCTCGGGATCCTCGGTCGCCACCCTCCCCTGCTCCTTGCAATGGTGGCGGCATGGGAGAGAGAGAGGAGGACGAGGAGGAGTAGGAGAGGTGGCGGCGCGAAGATCTGCGCCCGATCCAGAATCATGGCGTGCGGCGCGTGATGCCGGTGACCTGCGCCCGACTCGGCTGGAACGAGAACTGCCGCCCCCACTGCTGCACCTCGAGCGCCGGGGAGATAAGGCAGCGTCGGCCGCCGCGTGCCAAGAAGAGGATGGAGCCGGCGGCGCGGCGGGAGGGAAGGAAGGGATCGTGGGAGGGGAGAGCATGGGAGGAGAGAAGGCACGGGATATTTTTCACCCCGGTCAATCCAGGTTTTCATCGCTGCTCTCGCTCCTAGAAACCCATCTCCACCACGAGGAAGCAAAAAACCAGCTGATTCCTGGACCCCCACAGTTAACAAGGCCCACACGTCATTTACCTATTGTACCAGTCATGTATGTACAAAACAATCGACGGTTTACCAGGCGCCAGCAGCCAGAAAAAAACTGTAGCAGCTCGATCGGGTGGACCACGACGTCGCGCGCGAGCGATGCCGCTAGAATGGCGGGTACTCTAGCAGGCTTTATATGTTCAATTTGTCTGCAAGGCGATGGTCGTGCAACGTGTTGTGATGTGTGGCAACAACTTTAATGATCACCTCATACTTAGGTATAGTTTCACGCCCCAGGTGTGGCATGCTATTGCTACTGGGCATGACCGTCCCTCTGTCTTGCCTTTTTTTTGTGAAGGAGACAATCTCCTTTCCTGAGTGGTAGCACTAAAACCGTGGCAAAAATCTTGCACCTACGAAAATTGACTTGCGTGAGGGCGTCGTGTCTTGCTCTCATCAATCTCTCCCCTGTATTTCAGGGTGGGCTCCCTTCCCTCTAATCAAAATTTGTCAACTAATCCCATACGTAAAGTTTCGTAATTATTTTTCATAGGTGTAGCAAAGCTCAACCCGTGGCCTGGTAATCGTCCCTCCAGGCATATGATTGATGGCATCGTCGCTTACACATTCTGGCATATCTACTGCGAGAGAAATAGGAGGGTATTTTTTTAGGTTGCTTACCACATGGACCATGTGGTAAATAAGAGGGTGTTTGACAACAAGTATCACGCGGTTGCTGCGGTAGCAAGCATGGTCAAGGAGGCAACGTTGGCACGTGCCCTAGCCTACGCTAGAGTTGTGAACCATGATCTTTGTTAATCTTGTACGAGTGTTTTTGTTGGTTTTTGGTTATACTCAAAGTATTCTTTCCTTCCATAGAATTTGCAGAGCTCCTACTATATTTCGAAGAAAAAAGAATCTACTTGCACGGACGCGCTGATGCCAGCAACCAGTCCCACGGTCGTACAGCCGAGCCATGAGGAGAGGAAAAAGAAGAAAGGGATCATAAATCAGGAGATACATATCAGGGGTGTTTATGTAAATGACATCTACGTGGCAGCTGCGCCTGACCCATGGTGAACCACTTGCTCACAATTAGGATGATGTACATTTCTAAACATTATAAGATTCAATTGGCATACCTCGAATACTTTTAAGACCTATGATGCATTTTACTTATAAAGATTATTAGGGAGCAAATTATCCGAGGATTCTTTCTTCCGTCGTAAGTCATTGGTGTCGCATGACGTGCCTATAATTGATCAGGTTTAGTTCCAGTCCAAGTAACCTACTGAAAGTTTACTAAAGATCAAGAGAACATTATAGGTAAAACCTTTCTTGATACATAAAGCTTAGAGAAGTTGCTAATCCTCTCATCGTGATAACAGCCTCATTTTATATTCACTGACGAAAACACATATTTGCATAAAAAGTGCTCAAGTGCAGAAACAATATTAGCACAGAATCTCAGTATCAGACCCATAATGAAAGATTCATAGATGAAAATGGATTGTGGGATCCAGACTACTAGATTCAAACCAGTCGAACTAATTCTAAACCTGTATGATTCAACAACTTTCAATAATCCATATTAGTAAATGGGAATGCCATATCCATCGAACCCTAGTCATATCCACCTGTAGCTGGATGCCTTAGATCATCAAATCCTTGGTTATGGCATGCATAACACTGACCTGAAACAAATTAACCAACAAACTCTTAACAGAAAACTACAAATATTCATAGCTAATTCACTATATTGTCATGAAGACGAGGATTAGTACCATTTTCATTTGGTTCTAGAGGGCAGCAGAAATAGTATTTTCTTCCGAATATCTCTTTCACTTCGGGGAAGAACAATGCCACTCTGGAATCACTTGACCTAGGGCTCTCAATCATTACAGTGAAATTGTAATGGTGGAAAACTTTGTGATAGTATTCCACATTAAAGCATTGGTGACAAATTTCCTCAATCTGCCAGTCAAGATCCTAAAACAAAATATAAATCTTTATTAGTACAGTTTTTCTGGTCTTTTCTTGTGGTTTTAACAATTAAAATACTCAAAAGTTATATACAGACCGTGAGATTAGTACTTCTTTCAGCATATTTTTCGAATGCCAACATCACCTCCTTAGTCATCCAGTTTTTCCCATTTTGAATAATCTCTTCGTCAGGAACTTCACACCTATATGCACAGCCAACACAAAATTGCATTTTCTGTTCAAGTAGTAGAACAAATAGAAACCAGAATATCTTGACATCATGTTCAATGATTGATAAGCTTTTGGGTTTTGGCCCCAACACATATTAAGAAGCACATATCATCGAAAGGAAAGTAAATTAACTAGATATATATGTGTGGTGCAGAGTTGCGAACACCTAAATCTGCTTTTAAGGTTGGTATACGTACTGGTTGCTCAGAAATTGTGTGCCTCTCATGGCCCGTGATCCCTCTCATCTAAAATAATGAATATTGGGGAAAACTCTATGGTGTATGTAGAGGAACCAATAAACATACATGAACATTATCAATATCTTCTACTATTTTGCTATATAAGAACCAATAAACATACATGAACTCTATCATTTTCATGGAACATGATCTGGCAAAGGCTAGAAATATGAAGCTAGTGCTTTGTTTGAGCAATTGTCGGGATTAAAGATCAATTTAAAAAAAGTGAATTGTTCTGTTTTGGAAGAGCCAAAGATGAACAAGATGCTTACAGACAATTGTTTGGATGTGGATTGGGTTCCCTACCGTTTAGCTACTTGGGCATACCAATTCACCATCGTAAATTATCCAATAAGGAGTGGAAGTGTATTGAAGATCGATTTGAAAAAACCCTAAGCTGCTGGAAGCGTAAGCTTATGTCTTATGGTGGTCGGCTTGTTCTGATAAACTCAATGTTAACCAGTATGACGATGTTCCTATTGTCTTTCTTTGAAGTGCCTGTAGGGGTAAGGAAAAGATTAGACTTCTATCGATCTCGATTTTTCTGGCAAAGGGGTGAAATAAAGACAAAATACAGGCTAACCAAGTGGGATATTATCTGTAGACCGAAGGACTAAGGTGGGCTAGGGATTGAGAACTTAGAGGTCAAGAATAGATGCCTGCTTAGCAAATGGCTATACAGGCTTTCTGTTGAGACCGAGGTTACGTGGGTACAGATTTTGCGTAATAAGTACCTGCAATCTAAGAACTTGGCCCAAGTTATTGTAAGACCCAATGACTCGCCTTTATGTAAGGGGTTAATGAGGACGAAGGCAACCTTCTTTCAAAGGACTAAATTTATCATTGGAAACGGTAACACGACTAGATTCTGGGAAGATACATAGTTAGGGGAGACGCCTCTAGCAACACAATATCCTACTCTTTATAATATTGTACAACGTAAGGACGCTTATATTGCTACAGTATTACAGTCTGTTCCCTTAAACATCCAGTTCAGGAGGTCCCTAGTAGGGCACCGATGGGACTCTTGGCTGCATCTCGTGCAGAGTGATCGGCCAGATTCGATTCATTGGAATTTATCTATGAATGGGGTATTCACAATGAAGTCTATGTATTTGGACCTAATTGATTCTGGTCCAATTCCAAAATCAATGCATATTTGGAAGATTAAAGTGCCTTTAAGAATCAAAATCTTCATGTGATTTGTACACAAGGAAGTGATTCTGACCAATGATAATTTGGCAAAGCGAAGATGGGAGGGTAGTAAACGATGTTGCTTTTGTGACCAGGATGAAACCATACAACACCTCTTTCTCCAATGTCCTCTCACCAAGCTTCTATGGCTTACGATTCATGTAGCCTTTAATGTCAGTCCTCCAATTAGTATTAACACGTTATTTTGGACGTGGCTAAATGGAGTGGAGCCAAATACTGCGGGACATATTCGGATAGGAGTATGCGCATTAATTTGGGCTATACAGAACTGGAGAAATGACATGACTTTTAAACAGACAAAATCTTATTAATTTTTTGCAGGTTATCTACAGAGCCACTGCTTGGATCCGTACGTGGTCGTTACTCACTCATGCGGACACCAGGGAGCTTTTGGTTATTGGGTGCAACCGGTGGGAGACGGTAGCACAGGTTATTTACAACCGGTTTGGATGGCGGTCCAACAATAGGCTAGGTGTTTAGTCATCTTGACCTATTTTCGCCGGTTGTGGCAATTTTTTTCTACACTTTATTTAGCTCCCTTTGTGAGCATGTCCTGAATCGCAAATCTTTTTGGACCTTTTGCTTAATAAAATGGCTGCATGCATCACTCTGATGCAGAGGCTGGGGGTGATCCTCCTTTTTTAAAAAGATATCTTTTCTGCAAACACAAAGATGCTATAATATTAACATGTATAGCATACAAGGGTGATAGGATAATTTATAACCCTGCATATTATGAGGGGCCAAGGGGATAATTACTAGCAACGGCCAGCAGGTGTTGGAAATATGCCCTAGAGGCAATAATAAATAAGTTATTATTATATTTCCTTGTTCATGATAATCGTTTATTATCCATGCTATAATTGTATTGATAGGAAACTCAGATACATGTGTGGATACATATACAACACCATGTCCCTAGTAAGCCTCTAATTGACTAGCTCGTTGATCAATAGATGGTTACGGTTTCCTGACCATGGACATTGGATGTCGTTGATAACGGGATCACATCATTAGGAAAATGATGTGATGGACAAGACCCAATCCTAAGCCTAGCACAAAGATCGTAGTTCGTATGCTAAAGCTTTTCTAATGTCAAGTATCATTTCCTTAGACCATGAGATTGTGCAACTCCCGGATACCGTAGGAATGCTTTGGGTGTACCAAACGTCACAACGTAACTGGATGGCTATAAAGGTGCACTACAGGTATCTCCGAAAGTGTCTGTTGGGTTGGCACGAATCGAGACTGGGATTTGTCACTCCGGTAAACGGAGAGGTATCTCTGGGCCCACTCGGTAGGACATCATCATAATGTGCACAATGTGACCAAGGGGTTGATCATGGGATGATGTGTTACGGAACGAGTAAAGAGACTTGCCGGTAACGAGATTGAATAAGCTATCGGTATACCGACGATCGAATCTCGGGCAAGTATAATACCGCTAGACAAAGGGAATTGTATACGGGATTAATTGAGTCCTTGACATCGTGGTTCATCCGATGAGATCATCGTGGAACATGTGGGAGCCAACATGGGTATCCAGATCCCGCTGTTGGTTATTGGCCGGAGAACGTCTCGGTCATGTCTACATGGTTCCCGAACCCGTAGGGTCTACACACTTAAGGTTCGATGACGCTAGGGTTATAAAGGAAGTTTGTATGTGGTTACCGAATGTTGTTCGGAGTCCCGGATGAGATCCCGGACGTCACGAGGAGTTCCGGAATGGTCCGGAGGTAAAGATTTATATATGGAAAGTCCTGTTTTGGTCACCGGAAAAGTTTCGGGTTTTATCGGTAACGTACCGGGACCACCGGGAGGGTCCCGGGGGTCCACCAAGTGGGGCCACCATCCCCGGAGGGATGCATGGGCCAAGTG